TCCCATTTATCAAGGGTTATGTTTGTGTCTAGGTTCTTTTTGTTCCTCCTCATTTGAGAACTTTTATACAGAAACAAATGTCCCACCTTTGGATGATTGGCACAATGCCCAGTGTCCCTGTTTTTTTGCCCCTATTTTTATGCTAAACCCAAGTAAATTTTTTTAATAACCTTTTATTTTCTTCAATTGATTATTACCCTTGAACCCCCCCCCTAACCCCCCCCCCCCCCAACCCCCCAAACCCTTTTCCATGTATTTTGAACGGGTTGAAAAAGCCCCTGAGAGCAAAACACGCTGCAAAAAATGTCGCTTAGTTCCCTTGTGTCCTTTTTACTTTACAATTCCTTTTTTGTCCCCAGCATCTATCTTTTTCCACCCCTTTCCCCCCCCTTTGAAAAGCTTCATCAATTTGTCTGTTTTTCCCCCACTTCTATGTGTGAAAGCTCAATTATTTCTATAGCTTTTGCTCTCTCTTTTTTAAACCCTTTCCCTTTTCTCTTTTTTGTTTTGGTGTACACAAAAGGTTTCTAAACCCTCTGAAGGTATGGGTATACAGTATTTGTTTGGACGAATTATCTAAAGATTTAATGACTTTGTAAAATTTTTTTCAAACCAAGTTGTATATAATTTTATGGTTGTATAAAATTCCATCCTCCCTCTTCATTCTGGTTGTTTCGACCCCTACGGCATGTAGGTTCAGAAATTTCTTTCCCCCCCCCGCCCCTTTTCATATGAGAGTTGGTTATCCCGATTTTTAGTCAATATAAAATTTATAGAAGGGTCGTATTATAGAATTCTTTTTTTTTTCCCCCGCCCTGTTACTGTCCTTCTCTTTCGCCTTCATTCGCTCTTGTCTTCCCTTTCAATTACCCCTTTTCTATGTTTAAACTCTTTTTTTTCCCTCCCCCCCGGGGAAGTTCCCAGTGTTCGAGTTGTTCTTTCTTCTCCCTTGCCGAAAGCCCAACTGTTGGGTTTGTTTCCCTGTCTCTTTTTTTGACCATTTTCCCTTTATTCTCATCCCATTGCTGTGTACCCAGATGGCTCAAGTTTCTGAGGCGTAGGATTGCAGGTTTTTCGGCGCGTCGTAAAAGGGATTTACTTTTCGGCTAGTTTTTTCTGCGAATTGTATGCCTCCTTACAGATTTCTGTTTGCATTATCCCTGTTCTCATTTGTGGTTGTCTCGATCCCCTTTGTCTTTACGGCTTACAGAAATTTGAACACCCCACCCCTTTGTCCTCCCTATCCCAAATTTGGTACGCCGACTTTACCAAACATAAAGATATGTTTTTTTTTTGGGTTGGTCATTTTACGTACAGGGCAATGAACGGCAGACATGCTGCGCGGTCGCAGTAATGACCTACCCGTTTTCATGTAGAGGTATTTTCCTTTCGGGGCTATTTTCGCAATATCTTCCCACCCCCCACCCCTTGGCAAAAAACCCTTGGGCTACAACTCGGCAAAAAAGTTGGGTTTCTATGTCGGCAAAAAAATTCAATCTATTAAACCGAGTATAGATTATGGCCCCTTTCTTTTTCACCAGTGTCGAGGTTGGGGGCTACTCTCTCCTCTTGCATTTTGGTATCGTTTATATGGATTTCTGGAGAGGCGCCCCGCTCCTCTCGTGAGAATTGCCAAATTCATTTCAGTCGCCCCTTCTGTTGGATGCCCCCCTTTATCAAGAGCACGCAGAATTTACCTCCCTCGGTCTTAGCTCCGCTGCCTTCTTTCCTTCCCTTTTCGCTGATGGACCCCCCTTTCATCCAGACTTTCATTGACTTTTGACAAAAATTTACTGACTTCACAAATTCTGATACCCTTCAGGGCCTTTTACTTCAATCTCTTTCTACCCCCCTTTCCCCCGTCTATCCTCGCCCGTGTTTTCTGTAACTATGTCATCCCTCCTCCCTTTGCCAACCAATACCCTCGTTCCTTCCCTACCCCGCAGCCTGATGCCCCCTTTTGGTTAGCGTTCTTTTTGATTATAATAAAATAGTCAATTAAAGTCAAGATGGCTGAAGAGGGGTTGTTGAGGTGGTTTTGTTTTGATCATTTAGGAGATTGGAACAAAGTGGAATGACTTGGAGGGCATATAAATCTGTAGAGGAAGGAAGGTGGGGTAGGGGTTGTCGTCGAAAAGGTTGGAGGGAGGGGATAAAGGAAAACAGTTTTGTGGGCATGGGGCTTGGACTTCAAGCAATTGTGCATGAGCATGATAGGAGTGAATGGAGATGAATGGTTTTTGGGACCTGACGAGCTGTTGAGGTATGAACAGGGTAATATTTTGTGAAGGGATTTAGGGAAACTGGTTAGCTGGACTTGAGTCCTGGAAATGGAAAGTACATTGCCTGCACTTTAAGGAGGGGTTTGGGATATTGGCAGTTTGGAGGGACATCTCAACTGTCATATCTGAGTGCCTCTGCAAAGACAGTAATTATGTAAGAGTGATGGTGAAAGTGTAGATAAATGGTTGAGAGACCCAACAAGTTGATAAATTAGACACATGTGCAACACTTGGGAATCTTTATTGAGGAAATGTTTTGCCACACGTTTCCTTAGTAAAGATTCCCAAGTGTTGCACATGTGTCTGATGGTGAAAGTGTTGAATGGTGAAAGTATTTTTCTTTCTTTTTGGATTTTACTTTCTTTTTGGGTTTTTCTTTCTTTTGGGTCACCCTGCCTTGGTGGGAAACGGCCGACGTGTATTAAAAAAAAAAAATAGACATCCTCCATGAGCAAGTGGAGAAGAATCCTTCCTCCATATGTTGTAAGAGTGACTAAAATGCCAGGAGCAAAGGGCTAGTAACCCCTTCTCCTGTATAAATAATTAAATGTAAAAAGAAGAAAAAACTTTTGTTTCTTCTTTTTCGGGTCACCCTGCCATGGTGGGATATGGTCGAAGTGGTTAAAAAAGTCTTTTCTGCAGGGTACCTAGAACAGGTGATGTTCTAGCTAATAAACAAGCAGACTCCTCCACTTGGTCAGCAATATCATTACCTCCCAATTTTGTGTAGGGATATTCTTTTTTCGGACTATTTTGCAGTAATCTCTCGACAACTTCGCAACTGTTGACTACAACAGTGGTCCAAGTTCTGCAACAGATTGCTTTTTATCAAACTATGTTTGGGTTTCTGGCTGTCTTACCACTGTTGTCACATTTCGGAACCGCACTCTCCTTCCTTTGTATCAGCTGCACATCTTGCTCACGGGTGTCTTGTGGGAAAATGCTCGGCACTGTTCTGTGAAGATTTCTAAGGTAAGTTGTCAGTTCACCATCTCAGAATATTGTTCTGTCCATCAGCAAGCATTCAGAATTCACTTCCTGTCACTTCATTGCTCCAACATGTGTACTTTACTTGACCTTGCTCGAAGTCCCATCTTTGACACACAATCTGTCTCTGACTTTTTAATGGAAACTAATTTATTGCACCAACTTTGCTACTCATATTTTATCTTTAGCACTCTCCACTAACCCATACTCTTGCACACTCCTGCTTGACCTCCACATATTCCTTCTTTAGCACGTCCACCCTGCAATGCTGTATGGCCTTTTGGGTTTAGAGCTTAATTTGATTTTATATTTTTTGATTCCTTCCTCCAGCATTTGTGTGATTTGATCTTGATTTTCCAGGATTACTAACAGATAGTCATTAGTTTTGTTTGACTTTCCAGCTTAATAATGGCTGGATGCCCTTTTCCATGTGCTCCTAGCTGATGCAGGAAGCTTACCACACAGTAGTTTTTGTAAGAGTGCTTTAATGTAGGGAATCTTGTTCACAGTAAGTCGTACAAGAATGACTTCTTGGGTCATGGGAGAGTTAGGATCCCTCTGCTTTAGATGATATTACCCAACTACAGTGCATGGGTTCATTCTGACTTCCTGCTGAGTGATCCTCGGTGCTCTCCTTGGCCCCTCAGGGTAAGGGCAGCTCCAGAATTTTTTTGTACAAGGCTTAGGGGGTGGCAGGCTGGTTGGAAGAAGAGTCTCAGGGACTTGTCTTGAAGCTCAGTTATTATTGGATTTATTTGCAGGGGCTTTGGAAGGGCTGGAGAGGACCCCTTGCCTTCCCTTTGGCACTGCCAACGTTAATTGGGCCCCCAGTTCTCCTAGAAATTTTTATCCTTAACACTGGCTGGTAGTTTAACCACCTAAAGATCAGCTGGCAAATAGGCAGGTCACTTAACATTTAAGGTTAGGCTTGACCCCTACAACCCTCTACCTGTTATAAAAAAAAACATTATTTAGGCAGTTTAGCAGATTAGGACAGATGTTCAGGCCAAGGCTTCCTTACTCCCATTCACTAGTGCCAGAGCCCTGCCTTATAAACTGTGTCTTGTTTTCTGTATAGGTAGTGTAACGGTTCTGGGCCTCTCGACCACCTCCAGCATATGTATTATTTACACACATTCAGTTTTATACAATATGTATCATAGCCTTCAGGAATGAAAGAGGTTTATTTTACAGAAACTTACTGTATGTGCTGAAATTTTTGACTAATTTTGTGCATGGATTAAATTTATAGTACCTGGAAATCTTTTATGCAGAGATACAGTACACACCTATTACAATTTTAATTTTAGCCTCAAACTGGGATATAATAAATTATAACTAAGCATCTATAATTTGAATAGCCCACTATGTAGGTATGGAGTTGTCCAATATAATAAACTGTTGTAAATTCATACAAGTCTGTCAGTATTACAGTAATCTGAAAAGAATATGCAAGAGCTCATTTGGAGATTTAACGTGTGCATATTTGTTGCAGATTTTGAATTCATTTGATATGTCATGTAGCTGTTGATAACATGTTAATTGTAATGCATAGTTTGAAGTATGGTTGTTAAAAAATTACTAATAATTTGCCAGTGCTTTTCAGTCTGAAGTATGGTATATGTGTATACATGCATAATTCATACTTTTTTAATGTAATGGTTACATTTGAAAACATGTATATTAAAATGATGTAATCTGATAATTAATGCTTCATGTGATATTCCACAGATATTCTGGTGGTTGGTCACAAGATAATTAAGGATCAAATTAATGTTTTTTGGCATACCACTCATTCCGTCCTCCAGGATACAAGTAAACGCCAAGTTCACTTGTAGGCATCATTAACACTCGCCAGTCACTAGAATTGTTAATTACATTAATCAAGTAGTTCCATGTAGATTTATTTAGTGAAGTGAAGAATATAGGAAGCTTATGCTGTGCAGTGAACGCAGTTTATAGTCGTTATGATCCATAAAAGTGTGTGCTTGTGGTAGAAATTAAGTTAAGATGTTTTTAAAAAATTTTATGAAGAAATACACTTTGCTTATTTTTTTGGGTAAATTTCATTGAAAAGGCTGTCGGTGGGTGTTGCTCATCCACTAAATACTTTATATTCACATTGAAGAATTCAAGAAAGATGTGATAAAGGGTAGGTCACAGGTGCATTTGTTGATTATGGTTAAAGGTAGATAGATTATGAAAAAGTACATAATGCTTACATAAAAGCATAAACTTTTATGCATACATTACCCCCACTATTTTTTTGCTCATTTTAGTAATCTTCATTTATCAGAATTCATTTCTGCTCATCATATGATTTTTTCCAAGTGTGTATTTGAATATAATGTTGACTTTCATTTAAAAAATCAAAAATTTTCAATGTGCACAAAATCTTATTTGTTCATTATATACCCTCCCTTTTCTTAGTTTTATTTAATTATTTTTCACACAGCATCTTGCAATATATCTAACATCTACACGTGTTAAACTGGCAACATCATTTGTAGCTTTTATATTTCTAAACATTGCTGCCTATAGGTACCTGTAAAGCACCACCTGACTAATCTGACTTGCATATATTACATGTTTATTCAGATGCTTCATTTCCTCCAACATCTGCCATTGTAATTATCTTTAAATCAGTCCCTCTTACTTTTCCCTATCTCATTGTTTTTATTTCTCTTGACTACACACATCTTCCATGTTTGTCATTCAATCCATAAATTCAAGACCTTACACTAAGAAATTACTATCTCCATCTCTTACAGACTGCCATTTTATACTGTATGGGAAGTTTGATTCATAAAATTTTTATATTACATACCATATATGGTACGTTTACAGCTATAGGTCCTTTAAGATATAATTTTCTAAAAAGATTATTTACTTTCCTTTGCATTCTACATTTTTTATTGAAGATTTTAAAATAATACTTTTCCTTGCATTCTTACATCTTAGATCTCATTCTTTCATATGCACCTCTGGAGTATTTTCACCAATTCATGTTAAGTACAGTGGTACCTTGCGAACTTAATTCATTCCAGAAGGCTGTTCGAGTGCCAATACTGAACGAATATGTTCCCATAAGGAATAATGTAAATTAGATTAGTCCGTTTCAGACTCCCAAAAATACACTTACATAATTGAGTTGGGAGCTGTTCGAAACTCGAGGTACCGCTACATTATTCCATTTTTACATTAATATGGAAGTGTTATACCCATAGGGGCCATACAACACTTGTGAAAGGGGAGGTTATTATTTTAAATACAAGGAAGGGGAGGCACCACTAATTTCCTGGATATAGATCCCTTCACTCTTCCTTGAAGGTGGCATTACCCTTCAGAGTATATCATTAATATCCTATTTATCAAAAACTACGATTTTTTTCATCCATACAGCCATGTAGTCTAATTAAAATTTCATTATTGAAATGACTAAACTTTCATAATCTGCCTTCACACCTGTAGTTGTAAACCAACTTTAAAGAGTACAAGCACTTGCATGTTAATATCATGTGCTCCTTCAGAAAGTCTCTCCATCTTATAACTGTATGCATAATTAATTGCCATACACCTTCATTATGTCCCATTTTAATCATCTAGTGTAATTTATCTTTTATTTAAAAAATACATGTACAGTCTATCTTTGTAACATTGAGTAACACTTGGCTTACCTAAATTTATCACTGTTGTAACTCTGAATTTCTATGTATAGTCCTAGTTTTGTAATTAATGTACTAGTGTACCACATTTTAGTCATTAACTAACTTCTTTTATTACCTTTTTATTTTTTAAACACCCTCATTGAATGTATATGTCACATTTAGTATGTTATTGCATCTTTTATTTATTGTCTGTGTAACTTTTATTGTAGGGAAAGATTTTTTGTTCGGACTTCAGTTGCTAACAAGGTATGAAATTAATTTCATAATTCTTATGTAAAATTAATATTTTTTTGTACATGTGACTATGCTTATCTGTTCCAGTTTAGAAAGTGAGTTAGATATGCAAGACACTGCAAGTGAAGTTTTTCTACTTGTGTAGTTGTATGTATGAAATATATCAGCTTGTTCTGTAATCTTATTTATTAAAGAATAAATCAGGCGTATGTACAGTTCACAACTCTTGATACTTAATCCAAAATAATGTTGCACATCATGTTTATATTTCCAGATAATATTAAGAATAAAGTAAAACAAAAATTAAATAACTCTTAAATTAAGAGATGGTACTACTAAAACCTGAACTTGGTTAAAAAGACACATTGGAGTACAGTATTCTTTGCCATTCATGCTGGTGAATGGCTCTTGATCTAGTTAATTGGATTTAACCCTCCACTTCCATGGCTCAGACCTGATTGCCTCTCATTTCCTGTGAACTGTATGACCATCACAGGTTTCGCTCCTCATCAATATATTTGTTTAAATAGAGAACATTTTTGAAAGCTATTGAGTTCATCTATTTACATGATGTTAAGCTTATTTGTTGTTATGCTTAAGTCCACTTGAATGATAGTACCTTGAGGGCAGTATAGAAGAGGAGTGTACCTGTAGTTCATCATATTTTTGATAAGTTATCCAAGAGTGCATAAGCTTTTTTTTTCAGCCCCTCTCCCCTTCCCTCCCAAACATTCACCTTTAATGCAGGTTCACTAACTTCTTAATTGCAACTGATTTATATTGTGCCATGTGTTATGGCCTCCTTTTTACCTTGATGCTAATCTTCCTGATTTCTGAACATTATTGCCCTGTAATTCTGAATGACTGATTTAGCTCTGTTAATTTTTATATATATTTTTTTTTTATCACACTGGCCGATTCCCACCAAGGCAGGGTGGCCCGATAAAGAAAAACTTTCACCATCATTCACTCCATCACTGTCTTACCAGAAGGGGTGCTTTACACTACAGTTTTTAAACTGCAACATTAACACCCCTCCTTCAGAGTGCAGGCACTGTACTTCCCATCTCCAGGACTCAAGTCCGGCCTGCCGGTTTCCCTGAACCCCTTCATAAATGTTACTTTGCTCACACTCCAACAGCACGTCAAGTATTAAAAACCATTTGTCTCCATTCACTCCTATCAAACACGCTCACGCATGCCTGCAAATGAGTAGTACTTCTCCATTGATTGTGATAGGCCCCTGTCTGCTGCTACATACAGGGGCCTATCTGAATTGGAGATGAGGTATTTATTTGAGAAACTATGTGCCATTTTAGCTCAGAAGTAAGGTATTGGAAAACCACCATGCAGATCAGTATTCATTCCTTCATGATACTTAGGGCAGTATTTTAATTTCACTATACAGTACTATATCTGGAGATCTCAGTTCACTAATTTTATTTACAAAATTATAAGAGTATAACTTTTATACAGTAACAATGAGAACAACATCCAGTATTGGGCCCCCACTTAAACAAGATGGGTCCTACACAGATGACAGCAAGGAAATGAGTGAGCTACTCAAATCCCAATATGACTCAGTTTTTAGCAAGCCGCTAACCAGACTGAGAGTCGAAGATCAAAATTAATTTTTTATGAGAGCCACAAAATTTGGTTAACACAAGCCTATTCGATGTTATCCTGACGCCAAATGACTTCGAACAGGCGATAAATGACATGCCCATGCACTGCCCCAGGACCAGACTCGTGGAACTCCGTGTTCATCAAGAACTGCAAGAAGCCCCTATCACGAGCCTTTTCCATCCTATGGAGAGGGAGCATGGACACGGGGGTCGTCCCACAGTTACTAAAAACAACAGACATAGCCCCACTCCACAAAGGGGGCAGTAAAGCAACAGCAAAGAACTACAGACCGATAGCACTAACATCCCATATCATAAAAATCTTTGAAAGAGTCCTAAGAAGCAAGATCACCACCCATCTAGAAACCCATCAGTTACACAACCCAGGGCAACATGGGTTTAGAACAGGTCGCTCCTGTCTGTCTCAACTATTGGATCACTATGACAAGGTCCTAAATGAACTAGAAGATAAAAAGAATACAGATGTAATATATGCAGACTTTGCAAAAGCCTTCGACAAGTGTGACCATGGCGTAATAGCGCACAAAATGCGTGCTAAAGGAATAACAGGAAAAGTAGGTCGATGGATCTATAATTTCCTCACTAACAGAACACGGTCGATTGATCTATAATTTCCTCACTAACAGAACACAGAGAGTAGTCGTCAACAGAGTAAAGTCTGAGGCAGCTACGGTGAAAAGCTCTGTTCCACAAGGCACAGTACTCTCTCCCATCTTGTTCCTCATCCTCATATCCGACATTGACAAGGATGTCAGCCACAGCACCGTGTCTTCCTTTGCAGATGACACCCGAATCTGCATGACAGTGTCTTCCATTGCAGACACTGCAAGGCTCCAGGCGGACATCAACCGAATCTTTCAGTGGGCTGCAGAAAACAATATGAAATTCAACGATGAGAAATTTCAATTACTCAGATATGGTAAACACGAGGAAATTAAATCTTCATCAGAGTACAAAACAAATTCTGGCCACAAAATAGAGCGAAACCAACGTCAAAGACCTGGGAGTGATCATGTCGGAGGATCTCACCTTCAAGGACCATAACATTGTATCAATCGCATCTGCTAGAAAAATGACAGGATGGATAATGAGAACCTTCAAAACTAGGGAGGCCAAGCCCATGATGACACTCTTCAGGTCACTTGTTCTATCTAGGCTGGAATATTGCTGCACACTAACAGCACCTTTCAAGGCAGGTGAAATTGCTGACCTAGAAAATGTACAGAGAACCTTCACGGCGCGCATAACGGAGATAAAACACCTCAATTACTGGGAGCGCTTGAGGTTCCTGAACCTGTATTCCCTGGAATGCAGGCGGGAGAGAGACATGATTATATACACCTGGAAAATCCTAGAGGGACTAGTACCGAACTTGCACACGAAAATCACTCGCTACGAAAGCAAAAGACTTGGCAGACGATGCAACATCCCCCCAATGAAAAGCAGGGGTGTCACTAGCACGTTAAGAGACCATACAATAAGTGTCAGGGGCCGGAGACTGTTCAACTGCCTCCCAGCATACATAAGGGGGATTACCAACAGACCCCTGGCAGTCTTCAAGCTGGCACTGGACAAGCACCTAAAGTCGGTTCCTGACCAGCTGGGCTGTGGCTCATACGTTGGTTTGCGTGCAGCCAGCAGTAACAGCCTGGTTGATCAGGCTCTGATCCACCAGGAGGCCTGGTCACAGACCGGGCCGCGGGGGCGTTGACCCCCGGAACTCTCTCCTGGTAAACTCCAGGTATACAATTTTAAAGTCCTGAAAGTGCATAGTATTATATAAAATCTTATTGCATTGGAGTGTGTTCAGAATTTGCAGAATCAGTTTGCACTAAACCTGCACACAGTATCATTAGTTCAGGAATTACTGGTATCAGACTAAAAAAGCCTGCTGTGCAGGTGAAATTTCTCTCCACTAAAGATACCTGCACATTTTACATTTTTGTTTTTTAACAAGTCAGCCCTTTCCCACCGAGGCAGTGTTTTATCATTATTGTAATATTCATGGGGGAGGGGAGGGGAGGGGAGGTGAGGTGAGGTAAAGTGCTAAGCTTGTGAATCATACAGTGCCTGAGAGGCATTCAGGTTTGATTCAATGAAGGGAAGGGCAGGTTCAATTAATCTGCAAATGTAGTATGATATATATATAGCCTATTGGACCACAGATTTAGTGTTTCGCCTTGAATATAATAGTACAGGTTGACTATCACTAATCCGGCATCATCAGGATCTGTAGGGTGCCAGATTACAGTGGTTAGGTTAGAATACTCTTAACGGCAATATTTATGCATTGGCGATTTTGCCCACTTTACACCCTATTTTTGGCCCATTCCAGTGTTCGTCTGTCAAACTCGTAACTATTTCGCTAGTATTCCTTTCATTCTGTCGATTGAGTACAAGAACCCATCCATTTACCTATTTCAGCTATTCAATAAAGTTTGTAGATGAATGGTTCAGAGAACCGACATGTTGATAAATTAGACACATGTGCAACTCTTGGGTATCTTTATTGAGGAAACGTTTTGCCACACAGTGGCTTCATCAGTCCATACAAAGGAGAATCTCGAAGAACAGGAGGAGAATGAGGTAATCAGTCCCTCAACATTGAGTCGATGTGGTCAGTCCATCAATCTTGAATAGAATACGGCATATGTGCGGAGGAGCTTATAAACCGTAGGTATGAGAGGTGCAGCAGTCATAGGTGGTGTCCCTCAAGGTTGAGGGACTGATTACCTCATTCTCCTCCTGCTCTTCGAGATTCTCCTTTGTATGGACTGATGAAGCCACTGTGTGGCGAAACGTTTCCTCAATAAAGATACCCAAGAGTTGCACATGTGTCTAATTTATCAACATGTCGGTTCTCTGAACCATTCATCTACAAACCTGTCAGACACTGCAACTTCTTGGGATCTTAATACATAGGAATTCTTCGCTTGCCTAATTCTTGGGCACGACCTACTTCCACATTGAACAAATGTGACACCACCTATGACTGCTGCACCTCTCATACCTACGGTTTATAAGCTCCTTCTCCGCACGTATGCCGTATTCTATTCAAGATTGATGTACTGACCACATCGACTCAAGGTTGAGGGACTGATTACCTCATTCTCCTCTTGTTCTTCGAGATTCTCCTTTATATGGACTGATGAAGCCACTGTGTGGCGAAACGTTTCCTCAATAAAGATACCCAAGAGTTGCACATGTGTCTAATTTATTCAATAAAGTGGTCAGAAATTGGTAATTTGGCCAATTTCAAAATAGGGTCCAGAATAAACAATGCAGACATTCCTGGCACTAAAATAACATTTTCTCTGTTCATTAGTCATGTCTCCAGGCCCCTCTTATATTATGCTTGCTTTCCATTTTGAATTTTTATTCACACAAAAAAAATAGAAGGTTTACTGGTATGCAGACTACTGCATTGTAATAATTGTATAAATAATGTCAATCCATTCGTGACAGTGCATTAGACCAGCCAGACAGACACATATTGGACTGTGACATCATTTGTTTACTTTTGAACATCAGCAAAAATTGAACATTTCTGCTGCTTTGAGCTGATTTTAAAGGTACAGTAGACCATTATATTACATGGATTTATTTGCAGCGTTTTGGGTATTGCACTATTGAAAAATTGCGGCACAATTTTTACAACACTTCACACAATTAACTTGACACGGTTTCATTTGCAGACGCGGAAAAAATTTCCCCAGCTCAAGCTGCTGTCTTGTTGCAGGTCAGCAGGGGAGATCTCTCGCCATCCCCTGCCACCCCCGACATCACCATCCCAGCCTTCGTGAATACGTGTTCAGTTTTATAACTGTAGTGTAAAGTACCCCTCTGGCAAGACAGTGATGGAGTGAATGATGATGAAAGTTTTTCTTTTTCGGACCACCCTGCCTTGGTGGGAATCGGCTGATGTGTTAATAAAAATAATAAAAAAAATTCTTTTAATTACCATAAGTTGTATCTGCCAAGCAGTCATGGTACCCAGTAGGCATACTAGTGTTGCTGAAAGTGGCAAGAAAAGGGTTAAGCATTTAAATCTTAGAGTTAATGAAGAAAATAGATATTAGACAAGAGATAGCCTGTGGCTGTAATGAAGCGTCACTGCAATTAAAAAGAATGAGGTAAATGTATGAGTTCGTGTGATGAATAACTGACTGACTGACTTGATTGACCTGACAACTGATTTACTGACTTATTTAAAGTTACTTTTTTTTTCATTGAAGAGGACCCTGAAACGGCGTCTAGAGCAGCTGATGCCTTACCATCAGTTGTATAATGTACTGTGGGGTAAAATAGAACAGAAATCCATTACAGAA